TGCGAGCACTTCGTTATGCGTCCTTGAATTAGTTAGAATATAACTGAGAACTTCATATTATTTTCAAAAGGCTACAAAAAAACCATCGAAATGCACAGACGATTGTGCGATTGCAAGTCTTTTAAAAACACGATTAGCGCAAATACAGTATGTTGATGTGGCCGGTTAGCTCAGTTGGTTAGAGCGCGGTGCTAATAACGCTGAGGTCGTGGGTTCGATCCCCGTATCGGCCATTGGTAATTTTATGTGTATGTTGAAAACTATTGGCGGCATTTGGGTGCGCCATCTTGTGGCTACCTTCACTATCACCGTCTGGTGGGTAATATAATTTGTATTCTGCGAGCACTTCGTTATGCGTCCTTGAATTAGTTAGAATATAACTGAGAACTTCATATTATTGGTAAAAGGCTACAAAAAAACCTTCGAAATGCACAGACGTTTGTGCGATTGCATGTCTTTTAAAAACACGATTAACGATAGAATTTGTATTCTGTGAGCACTTCGTTATGCGTCCTTGAATTAGTTAGAATATAACTGAGAACTTCATATTATTTTCAAAAGGCTACAAAAAAACCATCGAAATGCACAGACGATTGTGCGATTGCAAGTCTTTTAAAAACACGATTAGCGCAAATACAGTATGCTGATGTGGCCGGTTAGCTCAGTTGGTTAGAGCGCGGTGCTAATAACGCTGAGGTCGTGGGTTCGATCGCCATATCGGCCATTGGTAATTTTATGTGTATGTTGAAAACTATTGGCGGCATTTGGGTGCGCCATCTTGTGGCTACCTTCACTATCACCGTCTGGTGGGTAATATAATTTGTATTCTGCGAGCACTTCGTTATGCGTCCTTGAATTAGTTAGATTATAACTGAGAACTTCGTATTATTGGCAAAAGGCTACAAAAAAACCTTCTAAATGCACAGACGTTTGTGCGATTGCATGTCTTTTAAAAACACGATTAACGCAAATACAGAGTGCTTATGTGGACGGTTAGCTCAGTTGGTTAGAGCGCGGTGCTAATAACGCTGAGGTCGTGGGTTCGATCCCCATATCGGCCATTGGTAATTTTATGTGTATGTTGAAAACTATTGGCGGCATTTGGTGCGCCATCTTGTGGCTACCTTCACTATCACCGTCTGGTGGGTAATAGAATTTGTATTCTGCGAGCACTTCGTTATGCCTCCTTGAATTTGTTAGAATATAACTGAGAACTTCATATTATTGGCAAAAGGCTACCCAAAATCCTTCGAAATGCACAGACGTTTGTGCGATTGCATGTCTTTTAAAACACGATTAACGATAAAATTTGTATTCTGCGAGCACTTCGTTATGCGTCCTTGAATTAGTTAGAATATAACTGAGAACTTCATATTATTTTCAAAAGGCTACAAAAAAACCTTCGAAATGCACAGGCGTTTGTGCGATTGCATGTCTTTTAAAAACACGATTAACGCAAATACAGTATGCTGATGTGGCCGGTTAGCTCAGTTGGTTAGAGCGCGGTGCTAATAACGCTGAGGTCGTGGGTTCGATCCCCATATCGGCCATTGGTAATTTTATGTGTATGTTGAAACTATTGGCGGCATTTGGGTGCGCCATCTTGTGGCTACCTTCACTATCACCGTCTGGTGGGTAATATAATTTGTATTCTGCGAGCACTTCGTTATGCGTCCTTGAATTAGTTAGATTATAACTGAGAACTTCGTATTATTGGCAAAAGGCTACAAAAAAACCTTCTAAATGCACAGACGTTTGTGCGATTGCATGTCTTTTAAAAACACGATTAACGCAAATACAGAGTGCTTATGTGGACGGTTAGCTCAGTTGGTTAGAGCGCGGTGCTAATAACGCTGAGGTCGTGGGTTCGATCCCCATATCGGCCATTGGTAATTTTATGTGTATGTTGAAAACTATTGGCGGCATTTGGTGCGCCATCTTGTGGCTACCTTCACAATCACCGTCTGGTGGGTAATAGAATTTGTATTCTGCGAGCACTTCATTATGCCTCCTTGAATTTGTTAGAATATAACTGAGAACTTCATATTATTGGCAAAAGGCTACCCAAAATCCTTCGAAATGCACAGACGTTTGTGCGATTGCATGTCTTTTAAAACACGATTAACGATAAAATTTGTATTCTGCGAGCACTTCGTTATGCGTCCTTGAATTAGTTAGAATATAACTGAGAACTTCATATTATTTTCAAAAGGCTACAAAAAAACCTTCGAAATGCACAGGCGTTTGTGCGATTGCATGTCTTTTAAAAACACGATTAACGCAAATACAGTATGCTGATGTGGCCGGTTAGCTCAGTTGGTTAGAGCGTGGTGCTAATAACGCTGAGGTCGTGGGTTCGATCCCCATATCGGCCATTGGTAATTTTATGTGTATGTTGAAACTATTGGCGGCATTTGGGTGCGCCATCTTGTGGCTACCTTCACTATCACCGTCTGGTGGGTAATATAATTTGTATTCTGCGAGCACTTCGTTATGCGTCCTTGAATTAGTTAGATTATAACTGAGAACTTCGTATTATTGGCAAAAGGCTACAAAAAAACCTTCTAAATGCACAGACGTTTGTGCGATTGCATGTCTTTTAAAAACACGATTAACGCAAATACAGAGTGCTTATGTGGACGGTTAGCTCAGTTGGTTAGAGCGCGGTGCTAATAACGCTGAGGTCGTGGGTTCGATCCCCATATCGGCCATTGGTAATTTTATGTGTATGTTGAAAACTATTGGTGGCATTTGGTGCGCCATCTTGTGGCTACCTTCACTATCACCGTCTGGTGGGTAATAGAATTTGTATTCTGCGAGCACTTCGTTATGCCTCCTTGAATTTGTTAGAATATAACTGAGAACTTCATATTATTGGCAAAAGGCTACCCAAAATCCTTCGAAATGCACAGACGTTTGTGCGATTGCATGTCTTTTAAAACACGATTAACGATAAAATTTGTATTCTGCGAGCACTTCGTTATGCGTCCTTGAATTAGTTAGAATATAACTGAGAACTTCATATTATTTTCAAAAGGCTACAAAAAAACCTTCGAAATGCACAGGCGTTTGTGCGATTGCATGTCTTTTAAAAACACGATTAACGCAAATACAGTATGCTGATGTGGCCGGTTAGCTCAGTTGGTTAGAGCGCGGTGCTAATAACGCTGAAGTCGTGGGTTCGATCCCCATATCGGCCATTTGTAATTTTATGTGTATGTTAAAAACTATTGGGGGCATCCGAGTGCGTCATCTTGTGGCTACCTTCACTATCACCGTCTGGTGGGTAAAAGAATTTGTATTCTGCGAGCACTTCGTTATGCGTCCTTGAATTAGTTAGAATATAACTGAGAACTTCATATTATTGGCAAAAGGCTACCCAAAATCCTTCAAAATGCACAGACGTTTGTGCGATTGCATGTCTTTTATAAACACGATTAACGGTAGAATTTGTATTCTGCGAGCACTTCGTTATGCGTCCTTGAATTAGTTAGAATATAACTGAGAACTTCATATTATTTTCAAAAGGCTCCAAAAAACCATCGAAATGCACAGACGTTTGTGCGATGCATGTCTTTTAAAAACACGATTAACGCAAATACAGTATGCTGATGTGGCCGCTTAGCTCAGTTGCTTAGAGCGCGGTGCTAATAACGCTGAGGTCGTGGGTTCGATCCACATATCGGCCATTGGTAATTTTATGTGTATGTTGAAACTATTGGCGGCATTTGGGTGCGCCATCTTGTGGCTACCTTCACTATCACCGTCTTGTGGGTAATAGAATTTGTATTCTGCGAGCACTTCGTTATGCGTCCTTGAATTAGTTAGATTATAACTGAGAACTTCGTATTATTGGCAAAAGGCTACAAAAAAACCTTCGAAATGCACATACGTTTGTGCGATTGCATGTCTTTTAAAAACACGATTAACGCAAATACAGAGTGCTTATGTGGCCGGTTAGCTCAGTTGGTTAGAGCGCAGTGCTAATAACGCTGAGGTCGTGGGTTCGATCCCCATGTCGGCCATTGGTAATTTTATGTGTATGTTGAAAACTATTAGCGGCATTTGGGTGCGCCATCTTGTGGCTACCTTCACTATCACCGTCTGGTGGGTAATAGAATTTGTATTCTGCGAGCACTTCGTTATGCCTCCTTGAATTTGTTAGAATATAACTGAGAACTTCATATTATTGGCAAAAGGCTACCCAAAATCCTTCGAAATGCACAGACGTTTGTGCGATTGCATGTCTTTTAAAACACGATTAACGATAAAATTTGTATTCTGCGAGCACTTCGTTATGCGTCCTTGAATTAGTTAGAATATAACTGAGAACTTCATATTATTTTCAAAAGGCTACAAAAAAACCTTCGAAATGCACAGACGTTTGTGCGATTGCATGTCTTTTAAAAACACGATTAACGCAAATACACTATGCTGATGTGGCCGGTTAGCTCAGTTGGTTAGAGCGCGGTGCTAATAACGCTGAGGTCTTGGGTTCGATCCCCATATCGGCCATTTGTAATTTTATGTGTATGTTAAAAACTATTGGGGGCATCCGAGTGCGTCATCTTGTGGCTACTTTCACTATCACCGTCTGGTGGGTAATAGAATTTGTATTCTGCGAGCACTTCGTTATGCGTCCTTGAATTAGTTAGAATATAACTGAGAACTTCATATTATTGGCAAAAGGCTACCCAAAATCCTTCGAAATGCACAGACGTTTGTGCAATTGCATGTCTTTTATAAACACGATTAACGGTAGAATTTGTATTCTGCGAGCACTTCGTTATGCGTCCTTGAATTAGTTAGAATATAACTGAGAACTTCATATTATTTTCAAAAGGCTCCAAATAAACCATCGAAATGCACAGACGTCTGTGCGATTGCATGTCTTTTAAAAACACGATTAACGCAAATACAGTATGCTGATGTAGCCGGTTAGCCTCAGTTGGTTAGAGCGCGGTGCTAATAACGCTGGGGTCGTGGGTTCGATCCCCATATCGGCCATTGGTAATTTTATGTGTATGTTGAAAACTATTGGCGGCATTTGGGTGCGCCATCTTGTGGCGACCTTCACTATCACCGTCTGGTGGGTAATAGAATTTGTATTCTGCGAGCACTTCGTTATGCGTCCTTGAATTAGTTAGAATATAACTGAGAACTTCATATTATTGGCAAAAGGCTACAAAAAACCTTCGAAATGCACAGACGTTTGTGCGATTGCATGTCTTTTAAAAACACGATTAGCGCAAATACAGTATGCTGATGTGGCCGGTTAGCTCAGTTGGTTAGAGCGCGGTGCTAATAACGCTGAGGTCGTGGGTTCGATCACCATATCGGCCATTGGTAATTTTATGTGTATGTTAAAAACTATTGGCGGCATCCGAGTGTGCCATCTTCTGGCTACCTTCACAATTGCATGTCTTTTAAAAACACGATTAACGCAAATACAGTATGCTGATGTGGCCGGTTAGCTCAGTTGGTTAGAGCGCGGTGCTAATAACGCTGAGGTCGTGGGTTCGATCCCCATATCGGCCATTGGTAATTTTATGTGTATGTTAAAAACATGTGTATGTTAAAAACTATTGGCGGCATCCGAGTGCGCCATCTTGTGGCTACCTTCACTATCACCGTCTGGTGGGTAATAGAATTTGTATTCTGCGAGCACTTCGTTATGCGTCCTTGAATTAGTTAGAATATAACTGAGAACTTCATATTATTTTCAAAAGGCTACAAAAAAATCTTCGAAATGCACAGACGTTTGTGCGAGTGCATGTCTTTTAAAAACACGATTAACACAAATACAGTATGCTGATGTGGCCGGTTAGCTCAGTTGGTTAGAGCGCGGTGCTAATAACGCTGAGGTCGTGGGTTCGATCTCCATATCGGCATTGGTAATTTTACGTGTATGTTAAAAACTATTGGGGGCATCCGAGTGCGCCATCTTGTGGCTACCTTCACTATCACCGTCTGGTGGGTAATAGAATTTGTATTCTGCGAGCACTTCGTTATGCGTCCTTGAATTAGTTAGAATATAACTGAGAACTTCATATTATTTTCAAAAGGCTACAAAAAAACCTTCGAAATGCACAGACGTTTGTGCGATTGCATGTCTTTTAAAAACACGATTAACGCAAATACACTATGCTGATGTGGCCGGTTAGCTCAGTTGGTTAGAGCGCGGTGCTAATAACGCTGAGGTCTTGGGTTCGATCCCCATATCGGCCATTTGTAATTTTATGTGTATGTTAAAAACTATTGGGGGCATCCGAGTGCGTCATCTTGTGGCGACCTTCACTATCACCGTCTGGTGGGTAATAGAATTTGTATTCTGCGAGCACTTCGTTATGCGTCCTTGAATTAGTTAGAATATAACTGAGAACTTCATATTATTGCCAAAAGGCTACAAAAAACCTTCGAAATGCACAGACGTTTGTGCGATTGCATGTCTTTTAAAAACACGATTAGCGCAAATACAGTATGCTGATGTGGCCGGTTAGCTCAGTTGGTTAGAGCGCGGTGCTAATAACGCTGAGGTCGTGGGTTCGATCACCATATCGGCCATTGGTAATTTTATGTGTATGTTAAAAACTATTGGCGGCATCCGAGTGTGCCATCTTGTGGCTACCTTCACAATTGCATGTCTTTTAAAAACACGATTAACGCAAATACAGTATGCTGATGTGGCCGGTTAGCTCAGTTGGTTAGAGCGCGGTGCTAATAACGCTGAGGTCGTGGGTTCGATCCCCATATCGGCCATTGGTAATTTTATGTGTATGTTAAAAACATGTGTATGTTAAAAACTATTGGCGGCATCCGAGTGCGCCATCTTGTGGCTACCTTCACTATCACCGTCTGGTGGGTAATAGAATTTGTATTCTGCGAGCACTTCGTTATGCGTCCTTGAATTAGTTAGAATATAACTGAGAACTTCATATTATTTTCAAAAGGCTACAAAAAAATCTTCGAAATGCACAGACGTTTGTGCGAGTGCATGTCTTTTAAAAACACGATTAACACAAATACAGTATGCTGATGTGGCCGGTTAGCTCAGTTGGTTAGAGCGCGGTGCTAATAACGCTGAGGTCGTGGGTTCGATCTCCATATCGGCATTGGTAATTTTACGTGTATGTTAAAAACTATTGGGGGCATCCGAGTGCGCCATCTTGTGGCTACCTTCACTATCACCGTCTGGTGGGTAATAGAATTTGTATTCTGCGAGCACTTCGTTATGCGTCCTTGAATTAGTTAGAATATAACTGAGAACTTCATATTATTGGCAAAAGGCTACCCAAAATCCTTCGAAATGCACAGACGTTTGTGCGATTGCATGTCTTTTAAAAACACGATTAACGATAGAATTTGTATTCTGCGAGCACTTCGTTATGCGTCCTTGAATTAGTTAGAATATAACTGAGAACTTCATATTATTTTCAAAAGGCTACAAAAAAATCTTCGAAATGCACAGACGTTTGTGCGAGTGCATGTCTTTTAAAAACACGATTAACACAAATACAGTATGCTGATGTGGCCGGTTAGCTCAGTTGGTTAGAGCGCGGTGCTAATAACGCTGAGGTCGTGGGTTCGATCTCCATATCGGCATTGGTAATTTTACGTGTATGTTAAAAACTATTGGGGGCATCCGAGTGCGCCATCTTGTGGCTACCTTCACTATCACCGTCTGGTGGGTAATAGAATTTGTATTCTGCGAGCACTTCGTTATGCGTCCTTGAATTAGTTAGAATATAACTGAGAACTTCATATTATTGGCAAAAGGCTACCCAAAATCCTTCGAAATGCACAGACGTTTGTGCGATTGCATGTCTTTTAAAAACACGATTAACGATAGAATTTGTATTCTGTGAGCACTTCGTTATGCGTCCTTGAATTAGTTAGAATATAACTGAGAACTTCATATTATTTTCAAAAGGCTACAAAAAAACCATCGAAATGCACAGACGATTGTGCGATTGCATGTCTTTTAAAAACACGATTAGCGCAAATACAGGATGCTGATGTGGCCGGTTAGCTCAGTTGGTTAGAGCGCGGTGCTAATAACGCTGAGGTCGTGGGTTCGATCCCCATATCGGCCATTGGTAATTTTATGTGTATGTTAAAAACTATTGGCGGCATCCCAGTGCGCCATCTTGTGGCTACCTTCAATATCACCGTCTGGAGGGTAATAGAATTTGTATTCTGCGAGCACTTCGTTATGCGTCCTTGAATTAGTGAGATTATAACTGAGAACTTCATATTATTGGCAAAAGGCTACCCAAAATCCTTCGAAATGCACAGACGTTTGTGCAATTGCATGTCTTTTAAAACACGATTAACGATAAAATTTGTATTCTGCGAGCACTTCGTTATGCGTCCTTGAATTAGTTAGAATATAACTGAGAACTTCATATTATTTTCAAAAGGCTACAAAAAAACCTTCGAAATGCACAGACGTTTGTGCGATTGCATGTCTTTTAAAAACACGATTAACGCAAATACACTATGCTGATGTGGCCGGTTAGCTCAGTTGGTTAGAGCGCGGTGCTAATAACGCTGAGGTCTTGGGTTCGATCCCCATATCGGCCATTTGTAATTTTATGTGTATGTTAAAAACTATTGGGGGCATCCGAGTGCGTCATCTTGTGGCGACCTTCACTATCACCGTCTGGTGGGTAATAGAATTTGTATTCTGCGAGCACTTCGTTATGCGTCCTTGAATTAGTTAGAATATAACTGAGAACTTCATATTATTGCCAAAAGGCTACAAAAAACCTTCGAAATGCACAGACGTTTGTGCGATTGCATGTCTTTTAAAAACACGATTAGCGCAAATACAGTATGCTGATGTGGCCGGTTAGCTCAGTTGGTTAGAGCGCGGTGCTAATAACGCTGAGGTCGTGGGTTCGATCACCATGTGTATGTGTATGTGTATGGTAATTTTATGTGTATGTTAAAAACTATTGGCGGCATCCGAGTGTGCCATCTTGTGGCTACCTTCACAATTGCATGTCTTTTAAAAACACGATTAACGCAAATACAGTATGCTGATGTGGCCGGTTAGCTCAGTTGGTTAGAGCGCGGTGCTAATAACGCTGAGGTCGTGGGTTTGATCCCCATATCGGCCATTGGTAATTTTATATGTATGTTAAAAACTATTGGCGGCATCCGAGTGCGCCATCTTGTGGCTACCTTCACTATCACCGTCTGGTGGGTAATAGAATTTGTATTCTGCGAGCACTTCGTTATGCGTCCTTGAATTAGTTAGAATATAACTGAGAACTTCATATTATTTTCAAAAGGCTACAAAAAAATCTTCGAAATGCACAGACGTTTGTGCGAGTGCATGTCTTTTAAAAACACGATTAACACAAATACAGTATGCTGATGTGGCCGGTTAGCTCAGTTGGTTAGAGCGCGGTGCTAATAACGCTGAGGTCGTGGGTTCGATCTCCATATCGGCATTGGTAATTTTACGTGTATGTTAAAAACTATTGGGGGCATCCGAGTGCGCCATCTTGTGGCTACCTTCACTATCACCGTCTGGTGGGTAATAGAATTTGTATTCTGCGAGCACTTCGTTATGCGTCCTTGAATTAGTTAGAATATAACTGAGAACTTCATATTATTGGCAAAAGGCTACCCAAAATCCTTCGAAATGCACAGACGTTTGTGCGATTGCATGTCTTTTAAAAACACGATTAACGATAGAATTTGTATTCTGTGAGCACTTCGTTATGCGTCCTTGAATTAGTTAGAATATAACTGAGAACTTCATATTATTTTCAAAAGGCTACAAAAAAACCATCGAAATGCACAGACGATTGTGCGATTGCATGTCTTTTAAAAACACGATTAACGCAAATACAGTATGCTGATGTGGCCGGTTAGCTCAGTTGGTTAGAGCGCGGTGCTAATAACGCTGAGGTCGTGGGTTCGATCCCCATATCGGCCATTGGTAATTTTATGTGTATGTTAAAAACTATTGGCGGCATCCGAGTGCGCCATCTTGT